AAAAAATTATAATTATTAAACCCGTTTAAGAATTGGAAAAATTGAAAAAAATAATAATAAAAAGAAAGTTGATTCCAAACATTGATTTTTTTTCCTAATTTCTTTAATTTCGGATCGAATATCCGATAACATAACAAATCGAATATGGATTTAACAATTAAATATTCGTTGAATTATCGGATTGGATCGGATAATTATTTTTATTGGATCGGATCGGATATAGGCAGATTTGATCCATATTCGATCAAATTACAACCCTATATGTGGTATCCAATGTCATCATATGTATATGTTTGGAAAAGTTTTGCGCATTTTAGGTTGATTCACACTAATTTATGGAGAAAATTCTGTCAATTTTTTTTTTTTATTAAATTCATTATAGCTAAAGCATGTCAAATTTTGCCTTGGTGTTATGTCCAATGCCTTGCTAGCATCCATAATTAATGTACACTATATTTAGAGTCCACAAGAATAAGTCAAGACTAATCATGTTGATAAACTTTAATCCATATCCTTGTTGGGCCTTTTGTTAAACACAAGGGAAAATTACATAAATCCAGGTCTTTTAAGACTACAATTCAAAAATTAGGGATAAAGTTTTCCAATTCAAAAATCAGGTATCAAAAATATTATAATACAAATTTCATCACAAACCCGAATTAATTTCTCATACCTTCTCTCTCTATCCCTCATTTCCTCTCCTCTCACGAAAACACAACCACCATCGCCGTCGCTGTGAAGGTGTCACAACCGTGAAGGTGTCACCACCACTACTGTGGTGCTCTATTTCTCTCATGTGAAGATGCCGCAGCAGCCAGAAAGCCCAGATCGTCGCTGAGGGTCTCTGATCTGAGCCGCGATGCTTAGTTTGCGCGACGCTCTAAGCGCCCCTGATCTTAGCCGCGACACTCAGTTCGTCGCTACAGTGGCAAATCGACAGCGAATTTATATTATTTAGTGATTGTTTGTAGCGATTAGTGGTGGTTTTGTAGTAGCTTTTAAGGTGATTTTGTGGTGGTGCTATCGGTGTTTTATGGTGGTTTTTCTTTGCTGTGGTGTAGTGGTGATTTTGTACGATCCGGTGATGGTGGTGGTCATGGCCAGCTTCGCAACGGATACTATGGGTATGTGTGCTGTGGGTGTGTGTTTAGTGGCGGAGTGGAGTTGTGGTGGTGGTGGCGTCACGACGGGTGGGTGTGTAGTGGCTGTGACTGGTTTGGGGTTTTTTGTTGGGTGGTGGTTGAAGTGTGACGTGGTTTTTTTTGTTGGGTGATGTTGTGG